TGTTCTTAAATTGTTCTTAAATTTTGTTGTTGGAATTCAGAACTGTAACAATGCAAAAAATGCTTGAGATTAAATTAGCATATTTAAATTACAGGAAAAAAAAACACTGAGTCAAATTACAACTGGAAGCTGAGCACGGTACAGAAGTGTTGAGTTTAACCCTAAATTACGAAGGGGACTAAAATACAAGAGCAAGCAACCAACGAGTCATCGTTTTACTTGAATTTGAGTGGTAAACATGCATGGACTAAATGCTGACATGGAGCAATACACTATGTATTCTAATTTGCATGTTTAAGGTTTTTATGCTTTTATTTTTTAATGTCTTTTGCTTCACTGCTTTGTATTCTTGAAAAGAAACAATTATGGTCTTTAGCATATGAATGCAACTTATTTCCAGCATAATAGTGTATCATTAGCCACAGGACCTGATGCTTATATCAAATTATATTATTTTGACAACATCGAGGTGTATTAAGAATAGCACAGTACTGTATGTCTCCCTATAAGTAACTAGATCATTTGAAGGGAAAAAAGCTCAAAACAAATGCAAAACAGCATCACAGCTGATGAGCTGTAGTTATCTGGCAGCAGGCCTTCTGTATGATCTGAAATTTTTTTTAATGTCTTATCCATTTTACAAGAACATTTTATATTTCCAGGCTGATTTTGTTCTTATAAAAATGGTGCTTTATTTGCAAAATGTCAGCCTGATTTTCTTAATACATGTGTTCTTATATGCAGGTGTTTATTGTATTGCATAACTTGCACTTATCGCAAAAACATATACATCGGAGAAACAGGAAGACGACTAGGTAACCGATTCCGAGAACATCTTCACGACGTAGAAAGGAATGACAAGGACGCATCAAAGCCAGTCGCTAGACACTTTAATCTACCAAATCATTCAAAGCAGCATATGGCAATCTGCGGCCTTTCCTTACATTTAGAGAGCTCGGAAAGCCGCAAAACTCTTGCACGAAAGTTTCTCTTTCAAATTGGCACTCTTAACCTTACAGGTATCAACGAACCCTTTTCATTTTACTAATTTATTCGTGTTTTTCTTGTCACCATGTTACCACCAATAGCGTAGCTCCTCTGGCTTTCTGCATATGAACCCATACACTACCCACGATTCCTACATTCGCTTTGACGAAGGGCTAACGCTCGAAACGTCAGCTTTTTAACTCTTTACGGTGGCCAATTTACAGTTTCAACTTAGTTGATATAACCTATTGAACTTGTTACCCCCACCGACGCAGCATCACAGTTTCTTTAGTAACTTACCGCCTTTATTAGTTTTCACGGTAGTTTCTGCCGGGAGTCAATGCTCTTTCAAGAAGTCTGCATGGAGGAGAGTTCCTGGGATCGAGATTGCCAACTTTCCGAAATTGGTTACAGGCTTGTCATGTCATCGCCATCCGAGTCTAAATTCCAGCCAGCCAGCCAGCCAATGTAGGATGTGCGAATACTTAGCACAACTTGCCAAGTGGCTGTTTGTCCAAAAGCGAAGAAAAATGTAATTTTGCATTATTTTGTAATTCCCTGATATACGGCCTCGAAAGTAGAAACGTAGAGGACGAGAGTGGATTGATTCAAAAATCGACGGACGACAAACATGCAGAATCGAAGCTGGAGAAGACAAACATCATTGTTTGGACAGAGAATGTTCAGCAACAACGAACGGTAGACCGCTAAATTACGGCCAGACTAAATCCCTGTATGTGATTCATCGCTGGAGACATGAGGGTGACGTGTATGAGTAAGTTTGCTTGGTTTTTTCGAACTGCAGCGGTAGTGTTTTCAATATATCGCTTCGATCCGATAACTTCCGCTTATAACACGTTTATTACAGGTATTTAATTACTCCATTATGTTCCGCATGTTTTCGCAGTGTCAATTTGTGGTTTACTTGATGAGGTTAATTGCCCAAGGTCGTGTAAAACGTAAACAGGGTTCTTTCTCAGTATTTTATTTAAATCTTGTATTGTTTTGAGAGAAGGTTGGCAACTCACTTCACTAAGGCTCGGTCACTAAGCCTGTTCGACTCGCGAAATATTTTCCTAGAGAAATTGACAGATATTAAACTCTTTTCGAAAGGTCAAGTTATATATGCAGCGCAAAGTTGCCACTTTAAACAAACTCTGATAAAACTGGAAATTTTCTAAGGAAACAATAGTGACTTCTTTCACAAATTACTTCTCCTGAAAAAAAATCAAGACTCCGATCTTAAATCGCGTGACATTGAAAGCATGTGCACGGCGTGACTCATGACTTTCACTTCCGCTTTTGTTGCTTTCGCTCTCACTCAGAATTTCTATTGCTTGAGGACCTTTTTTGCAAAAGAAGTGAACTTTCCAAGTATTAATGTTTGTGTGTAATTACTTTCAGGCAGTGAATGCCGAAGAGACCAGTGTACTGAACGAATATTACGAACTGGACCACAAGTATAGACAAAGCGAGTCTGAGTCGAGGAGTATGTGCAGTATGACGTCACGTACAGTTCGGCAAGGGTTGATAGGATTTCATTTCACAGGTAACTGTCTACTTTGAATCGAATACGTGAAAATACAGGAATTTAAAACTGTGAGTCACAACATTTTTAATTTCAACAACGTAAATCGCAGATATATATTTGTCTGATTAAATCTATATATTATTTTTGAAGCAAGGTTTCCAAGGGGGACGCTGTTTCTATTCAAATGGCGAGTATTTCTGAAGTTGCTGAGACACCGACGAACCATTTCGTTTTATGTCCATCAAAATGGTGAGTATTTCAAGAAAATATCTTACTCATTCTTATTTTAGGCGGTCGATGTGTTGTTTTCAATATGAATTTGGAGAAAAGCCAGTGAGTCGTTAGTCTCCCTCGCAGCCGTTTTGTTTGGATGTCACGCAACGGCTGCTAGGGAGACTAGTGAGTCGTCGACTGAACGAACTAGTGTGTATCAGACAACATCGTCTCATCCAGGGGCGTAGCCAGGATTTTTCATAGGGGGGGGGGTCACACTGTGTGAGAGAGTACTCACCAGATTGTCATTGCAACCTCCACGCCCGTGTTTTACTTATAATGTGGCAAAAAAGGCTTAAAAAAGAAAACTTCTTTTGCCTGTCGTGCTTGAAATCAAATAGAACACCCACCTCCCTTTTCGTAACCTCACCATGCTAATTTTCTAAACGCTCCTTAAAATTTAAAGTTTTTTCCTTCACAAAAGTGACTTCAATACTACGATGTACTCCTGCAACATTCCACTAAAATTGCCCCATAAATTAAAAGCTTCAGAGTGATTTAGTGCAAAATGTCTACTGTGCTGTATGGTGTTCGGTTTTTATGACTGCTTGATGTCATTCTAGGGCAGTGACGTTACGTCACTAACCCAATTTTTAACGTCATTAAGAGTTCCTTTTAAATAGAAGAGACCTTGAAATAATACTTTACTCCAAAATACGAACGTCGCACGTCATCAAGATGAGAATAAATCATCGAGGAACGAAGATGTTTCAGAATAGAAAAGATTAACATGAAGAATTGCAAGTGACAAACTTAAAAATCTGGTTTAACTTGGAAAGATGCACAAAGTGCGGACATTTACTCATCATATACCACTGTGACGATACCACGCCGTAAAGGTGGGCGCTCTCTAACACACACAAAACACCAAGCACCAGGCACAAACAAGCCCGAAAAGACACGCCACAACACATCTAAACGTTATGTGGTCTCCGCTCAGATTTTTCTTGACTCAGTTGTCTTCACTCGCTTACTGTCTGACAGAAGATAATCCATGTTCTCCGTTTCCTTCTTCTGCGCTTTCTTCGGCCAGCTTCTCGGCACACATGCGCTTCCTGGCAAATGGACTCTTTGTCGTGTAAAGGAACGGTTTTACAGAATGACTCTTCAGTGATTAAAACGTGCTCTTATCCGAACGAGTCTTCGTAACTTTCAAACCTTCACCGCCCGTGACCTTCTCTCAAAACAGGGAGAAAAGAAAAACCTCGTATGGTAACCACCCGAATCCTTATATGCATGTGGACGCAAGGTGCCAGAAAAGAAGGAAGAAAACTATTTGATGTATTAAAATAAAGGTTAATTACACAACGTAAGGTTACACAAGTGAAGAATACAAATTACGTTAGATACAAATATCATACACTACATAGATCCTAGGAGAATAAAAGAATTATTTACATACCCTAAATAAATTCTTTTGGACGCTTTCATGACAACCACCCAGCTTTTGTTGGTCAAGAGCAAAGTGATAGATTAGAGGGCCACAGGTTTGTCAGCTTTTCAGCTGTTACGTGTCCCCCTCTATAAATAAAGTCCTTACTTACTTACTAAAACGCTAAACCGTTTAACGTCATTCACTATTGTTTTCTCTTTTGCGTTCGTTGGTCTTAAAGTGACTATGTACTCGACTAATCTTCTATTTTATAAAATTAATCGCTGAGGATTTGTGGCTGAGAGGTAGCGGACAAAGGAACAATAACAACAAAAAAAGAAGCTTGGCTGAAGTAAAAGTTATCTCTGATTTTGTGCGATTTCGACAAGAACTAGCTTATCTGTGTCTGTTGCAAAAATATTATGCGACGTAAAAGATTCTTGATTTAGGAAATTAGATTTTTCTAGTTTACTGAAGTGTTCTCAATCACTGCAACGAGAAAGTCTTTCATTAGAAGCTTTTATTAAACATTTCTGGAAAGTATTCAGAAGATCATGTCTTCGGTGAAATGGAGTCTTTCAGGAGGTACCCTACTTGACAGCGGCATGTAAAATATTTTACTTTATTTTTGGGACCATTAGCGTCTTAGTAGTGTCTTAATTACTTGCCGCAATTGTTTATGAATCCTGGTAACCAAACAAACCAAACAATCACTTTAAACCAGTGTACTCCAATCAAGATCATTTGCATTGTGTACTTAAGCTATTTTCAAATATGTACCAACCAAAAGTCGAATACAATTTGCATGCATGATGCGGGTTTACAATAAACCAAAGTGACATTATGTCCAAACCAATGGTTCAGCAGACAGAAGAAGACGTAAGTAACACTTCAACGCTTCCAAAGTGCTGGTAATAAGCTAAGTGGAAATTTCAGTTTGGATTTAATCGACCAAGATACTTGATTAGAATTCAGAGTTACCTTCGGAGTTGTTTCAATCTCCCTTTGGCGAAGCCGGTGTCGGCGTACCCAAAATAACCTCGGAGGTAGTTGTATCGTAACAACTGGTACATCATGGCGGGGAAAAGTAGAGCGATAGATAAAAATATGTCGAAGCTTGGGAATCGTTTAATAACCACGATGCTAAAGAATGAGAAGCTTGCCGAGAAAGAACTCGAGAAAAAGATGAAAGCTATCAAAGATTTGGAGCGAAAGTCTATGGTGAAAATATGTGAAACTTCTCTTGACATGAGGTACGATATGAGGAGGAAACGAAACACGCAAGATATGGAGGAACAAATTGCTAATGATTCATTAAACGCTAGTTTTGGACAAGAAAGGGTGTTGCGTTCGCCCAGTATGTCTCGGAGGGGGAGTTACGTAGCTGTTTCGCCAAAGGAAGACGATGCAGACGAGACGGCGTCTGTTTTAAGCCTGTCGAGTAAACGGAGTTCTACGGGTGAAGCGCCGCAAATTTTTATCAATAATGAAAGGAAAGAGACTGACTGTGACTATGATCCAGAGAGCAGGCGATCATCTGTTGGAAGTCAATCCTCGGATGTACCTCCAAGCGATGCATCAGCTCCCGCGGACGAATCGCCTGCCATCGACGACGCAGAAGCTCAAAAGATGCTGAAAGCGTTTTCTCAAAGCACACTTGGTTCTCATCGGCGACGTACTGCGCCGGAAATCACTGATCTCTCGCCAAAGCTGCTCATTCAGATGGCGAAAAGTTCGGCAGAGGTTAAAAGACGTGGATCCATAATGGACGTGGCGGAGGGAGAAATGTTGGAACCAACTTCACCAGCATCGACCAAAAGACGTGGATCAGCAACAGCTGAATTGATTCGATCAAAGGCAGAGACTGCTGAGGCGCCTGTGTCAGGTCAGTCACCCTCACAGCAGAGACGGGATTCTGCTTCAATAGGAAATTCTTCTTCGCAATCTCCACTCCTTCGTGGACGTGGATCTCCTACAGTTACAAAGTCCAAAAATGTAATTTCACTTGAATTGAACGAAGCTCATCTGAGGGGAAAGATTTCGGAGCAAGCTCCGCTTTCGCCACGACTGAAACAGCCTCTTTCGCTATTACTCGGAAGGAGAGCCTCTGGTGTAGCAGCTTCTCTTCGTCCCACCTTAGGTAGGTCGTCAGATTCCGGGTCAGAGCAGATGCTGCCAGAACTAAACAGTGATGGGTCTCCCGCTAGGATGCGGCGGTCACTGAGTCCAGTTCGACCACCTTTCTCCATAAATCGTCCCTCCACCGCCAGGTCATTGTCTTCATTATCAGCAGATATTGTACCGGGAGATGTTCAGTTGGGGGCTTCATCACCTCCTAGCGAGTACGATATTGCTCGGCGACGTGGCTCCAGGCCTGGATCTGCAAGAAGTTGTTATTCAATGCCACCAGGAGGGCTTCTTCTTCTTCCAATAGACAGGACATCTTTAGCTGGACGCCGAGGTTCAGATTCCTCCCAAATTGATCTGAATACTCTGTCGCCTTCTTCACCTCTCCGAAAGGCCATGGTAGACCCTCAAGCGACACTGAACCCTGCTCCAGTCTCACCCAGCGTCTATCGGAGGCATTCGGGAACAGTGGAGGCTCTGCAAGATCGTGTTGATGACTTCTTAAAAACATTGGCGGCAAAAAGTACTTAAAATATTTTTAATCAATTCACGCAGTGATTTGTAGTGATGTTTGAGCATACTGTATATTTCCAGTCCTTCTTTATTCAAAGTACGATAAGGCTTAATAAGGGTTAGCCAACAATTTTTGGATTAGTTTGTAGCTTTTCAGACAGTTTTAGTTGTTTAGTCTTTCTCTGAAGCTAAAGTAAAACATCTTTAAACGTAAGCCCTAGAATGCGCTTTAATTTCAAGAGAAATAAAGGATAAGTTAAACTTTTAATACTGGATGTTTACTTTTCGAAAAACCGAGGCCAGAATGATTATTTCCGTGATACTTGATTTCTACTGAATGTCTCAGACATTTCGACAGTCGCCAATTTTTAACTAATTTTTTTTTGTTTGGAACTCTAAAACCAATCAATGAGGAATTGTGCATTCCCTAAAAGTTGTTCGAGCGAACAGATGTGGTCGTAACCTGTCATTTCGAAGAATGTCCGTGATGTAGGTTATGTTTCACCGAGTTCGTTGTTCCAAGAGTGATTGACAATCTCCTACATTCCTAGGTGTTGGTAGTTAGTTCTAGTCGCACGAGGCCTGGAACTCGCTTAAACGTCTGCGGATGTGAACGCTGTAAATGATTAGCTGGCGTGCTTCCAGGCTGTCAGAACTAAGTGGTACGTCTCACAAAAGTCAAAAACAAAAACCTAAGCCAATAAGTCACGTTGTTTTGAAAGCTATAACTTTTTTCAGGGTAAAACTCAAAACAGAATGGTAAATCAACAAGATACCCCTACTTGAATAAGCTTTGTGTTCAAGTTTTTCTTTTCCCTACTTTTGTCTCCTTTTACGTGTCCTTTTATGTTTTGAGCGGAAATTTCTTCGCAGGCGCCCAAATTTGATCCCCTCGCGTATGCGCGACGTTCGACCACTGTGTTTTTATATGCTACTCCCTTGTATGAATAACTTATCAAATGAAGGCGCTGGCCTATTCATTGACCGTCGACCCTGGGTACTAGGTAAAAGAAAAGCATATCTCGGACTTTGGTCACGTACGTTCATCTCAATTTCAGTGTGAAGTCGAAGCTGTCAATTTCCGTGTTCTTTCTGCTCTTCAAGCGAAGTTTTCATTTGGCAGGGACGCGTTCTACCTGGGGTAGGTAACCTTTTCCTTTTTAAGTGAAGTAGACAACAGCATTAATTTTTGTCGACCAGTCTAGTCTAAAACATTTTGTGGTAACATTTATTTTGGGGAAAGGTCGCCTGGGATGTGATAATCATTTTTTCTCTATTATAATTGCAAGTTCCTACATTCTTTTTCTCGAGGAGCGGGAAAAAATGCCGGTTCGGATCTTGCATTTATCTCAGTCTATATCACTAAATGTGGAAATAGCATGATAATAATTTTCATCTTTCCGATCGAACTAGCATGTTTTGTGTAGAAAATCGAAAATATTTTTTAACCTCTTGTGGTTGGAAATTCGATCAGTGAAATTATAATTTTTTTTTTTTTTGCAAGAAGACTGTGATATCGTTACCTTTCAGTTTTTCCTTAAAGGAGATCGAAACTGAAATAGATTCTTATTTTTTGGATGAAGCGCATCAGGGCTTCTTTTGTTGCTTGCAGCTGCGGCCTGGTGGCCGGAACATTTTAGGAAAATTTGCTCACACCAAGAAACAGTGAAATTAGAATTCAAATGTATTAATCTCCAAATCAGATGGCTTCGTTTTGATCTTTGCATTTTAGATTTCCGCGTGTGGTCCATTTAAATACAAAGAAATGATTTATATGGAACCTCTGAGCAAAAAGAAAAAAATAAATATTTGAAGGCGGTTTCCGTAATCAGATTTTAATAAGTAAGAGGCTAAAGTCCTTGTGTCAGATGCCGTTTACGATTAAGTATACTGCGGATGCAATACAATGATTTGGAAGTGAATGAATTATAAACCATCCAATGGAACCAGAGTTACGTGAATGAACAATTAGTTTATTTCACAGTGGATGGTTTTAATTGTGGCATTTTGACACCCAGCGCAATCAACCAGGGCGGTAAATTAAATTTGTTTTCTTTTTTTTTTTTTTTTACCTTTAACGCCTTCTGCAAAGTGTTGTCAATGGATGAGGTTAATTTCTTTGGTTTAGAGTGCATAAAGTTGAACAATCGACGCCGAAAGTTCGTGATGTTTAAAGAGAATAGATGAAATGAAAATATAAGTATCTACAAAGAGAAACTGAATTTGAAGTTACTGGTGAATCAGTAGATTTCTCGTTAACAGAGATAGACTACAGAAGCGTCAAAATCTGATCTCTGATCTTAAAAAATAATCTACGAAATAATCAGAAGTTTTTATTATTTATTTCCAAATATTTCCAAACGACGTATCTTCCCTGAAAACTACAGCATCATCTGCTGCATTACGAGCGTCTCCAGTTAGTTTACTTTTATAAATTCTTTGAAAAAAGCCAACTGAAAACAAATGGAAATATAAGCAAATAAATAAAATCTACTGCGGTTTTTAAAGCGAGATAAATATTTTCAGAAGCACGTATACCCAGCCATGCATAGTTAGCTTGGGTTTACTGTTCTTGAGGCAAATCAATCTCATGCATGTTTTTTCGTTGTAACTCTACAAGTAAGATTCGACTCTACGAGGGTTTCAAGAATCAAAACTCTGCTGTGTAACGCAAAAGTCTTTGAGTAGCGGAAGGGATAACTGTACAAAAATCACCGAGTCAAGCAAAGGGAACTCCTTTTCTGAAAGTGTAATTTTACTGCTGTAACTTCTTTACTCAGCACCTTATATTGAATATATTCGTCAACAGTGTTAGCAATGTAGTTATCACCGATTGCTGCAATTCGTGTGCTATCACAGTTCATTACAAATCGTCCTCGATTTGCGGATACAATTAACCAGTAAAACTTTTGCAAAACCACAAACAGTACCGTATACACACACCGCTATGACGTTAACCTATAAAAATAAAAGGTGCGGCTGAGATGCATATTTCAAACCGAAGTCCTTGTGATGATTGCAAGTTTATAGTTTGTCATTGTAATCCATGTTAATATCTGGCCAATCCATCGCTCTTTTTCACACCTTAGGCATAAGTACGTTTTCCCGTTGAATAGGAAACAGGTTTCGAATTTATCTGACAAGTTTTCGTTGGCATGTTAGACGAATTTTCCCTCCATGATTGTATGAAAGCCGTGACATTTGAGGTTTTCTTTTTTCACCGAAAAACGCCTGAAAGAAGGAATTCTATAGTCTAAATCAAATTTCGTCCTTTTTATGTTCTTATTTCTGCTGCCTTGATGACTTGATACGGGACACAAAAAGAAATTCTTTTATCCAGCCTTCTTTGGTGTGACAAGTCTTTGTTGGCCTGAGTAAATATCGAACAATTTTTCCTTCACAGATGCACTTGCTAAGGCAAACTTGCTACTTAAGATGCGGCTTTAACCATTTCCTTTGGTGTGCCATTTACTAACGTGTCACCAGTTAGTGACCTTGAGCGTCCACCGCACCCTAAAGTTCGTGTTTTGAAATTCCCCCACAGCTTTTATTTCTCATGCTCTCCGAAACTAAAAAAAAAAAAACAAAAAAATAGAAAACTTTTTGATCCCGAAAACCGTACCTTAAACTCTTGTAAAAACTTTTGGGGGTGTCGCTATTGATTCAGAAGGTTTCACAGACAAACGACAACCTCGTTCTCAGGGCCTTTTCCCTTAGTTAGGGGTGGAGTTAAAGAAAAGGGCCTAGGAACGAGGATGAGACGAACGAGAGTGTTAAGGAAAGGAAGGAAAGGTGTTTTTCGTTTTGTCACGAGCGTGGGACAGAGAAAATCATATGAGTTCTCTCAACCCTTTCGCTCCCAAGATCTCATTAGTGATTCTCCTTACTGTTACGACACAATTCTTATGATGTTGGTTTGGAGAATTTCGTATTAGATCGACAAATAATCCTGTATTTGACAATTTTCTTTATTCTCATCACTTATCTGCTGGATATTGTATTGATATTGTAAGGAGAAATTCTGTCTTGGTCACTCAAGGGAGTTAAGGATAAAGGCAAAGAACCTCATACCTTGGGATTCTGCATACCCCTGCTTTGCCTCTGAGGCACAGAAAGTCTGTGGCGAGTTGGGTCACTTCACGGTTCATCCGTGACGCATGCGTGTTCTCTACACTGTCGGAAGCGTCGTGTATACCAAATTATTTAAACTAGAGCTTTCCATGTAATCAATTTCCAATTTATACTATTTTTGCCATTTTTTCATTTTCTTTTTTTCCTTTTAAACTCATATCATTTCGCAGCATTAACCGGCAAAGATTTTGATTGTACCAGGCATTGAGTTAGTAAGGGGATAAAAAACAGCGCCATCGGTAGCGGAGAAGGGATAAAGCAAGAGAGGCCTGGGTCGGGGCGCGTATTGAAGTGTTCCGTACCCAACTCGACCCTAACCTCCCTCGCTCCTACGCAAATAACGCACCGTTTGCTGTTTCATTCTGGTTTAAAAACTGAACGTCGGGAATATTTCAGAAACACGCTAACTTTCTATGCCCCCTTGCCGGAAAGCCCTCCTCAGGCCATTTTCATGTGACATCGAAGTGTAATACATTAGTAAATATGCATGAGAGCATCATTATAGATAAAGTTGCGGTGAAAAGTATTGCCACTGAATTTTCTTCCACGCTTTCCAAAGTTTGTTTACATTTTCAGCCAGTCCGCTGGTAAGTACTGCCTCCCGAATAATGCTGAATATTCTTTTTCAAAATAAGATAATTCAGGACATTTTTTTTATCCGCCTTTGTTAACACTTGCGGCTTAACTCTCGAAATTATGCTCCGTCCTTGATATATTTTTTTTTTTTTATTTATGGCCTGGTTACTAAGGTCACCGTTACAATGACCGAAATTCCAACAACAGAGCTGGTAAATTCTTCGTCTGGAAGCTCTAGCTCGGTTGCAAGACAACACCTGATAGCCACAGCTTCTTCAACCTGATCACTGAAATGAAACGGGCCGAAATTTTCCTACATGAATAGCAATCGGCTTGAAATTTCAGCGCGGCGATCAGGATGTAATTTCCTGCCTAAATGCAACATTAAATTATTCTCAACCCAGTGCATGTTGTCCTATATCCTACTGTAGCATTTTAAATGATAATTTTTACGGTTCGAGAGGGTGCTTTTATCAACTGATCCACGAAGTCACATGATGACAGCGTGGCAATTCCTCCTCTTCACCCAAATGGTTTCTTGGCGTCTCAGATATCCGCGTGTGTTTTACCTTGGTCCGCTTACACTGATTTAGGTTTTCCAAAGAATATCTCAATATTTTCAGTATACATTTTAGTTTACCGCGGAGGTTTGAGTCCAAAATCAGAGAGAGTGTTTACTAATTAGATATCTATTTGAACTTAACTATAGTAATCGGTTCGTTTTCACATGCGAAAACAGTACGTTGTTTTGACACGTAATTGGCTACTGAACAAAATTTCTCTCTGTTGAACTTCACTCTCACTAGGGCGGAATAATGATAAATAAACAGAGATCAGCTGACAGAAGAAGGGAAATTCAACCAGTAAAATCCGTTCTCCACTGGTGTAAAAACCAAGCTGCGAAAATTGCAGGTGAATAGTCGCTCCCAGGAATTTGGGTGTGGTCCGTTTGACCTAACCTTGTGATGCTCATGAAAAGGTGAAACCTTATGGGTGCGGTTAATTACAGTCAAATGACAACCCTCAAACATAGATGTGGTCAACGTAACATCGACCCTTCGTGCCCTTTGTCACGTAGACAGAAGAAATTCGTGCTTGTAATATGAGCAGACTGTAGGATGTATTTTATGTTTTTAGTGAATCTGATCGATTTTCACCATCTTCGAACAATCTGTTTCCCTATTAAACTCTTATAGGGACTAAAACTACTTGTCCCTTATACTATGATGACAAATACACCCCAATGACAGCCAACCGTGAAAAGTCGGAGACATGAGCGGAGCCATATCGAACGAAAAGGAATTTTTTCGCAAATAAACTATTCTTGATTCTTCTCAAGATGCTTGATTACATCGGCTGTTCATTTGTTGCGTGATTCTGATCTAAATATTAGACTTTTCTGTGACACCCGGCGCCTTGTCATTTGTTTTTAATTCTTATTGATATTTTTAAAGCATAAGGCCATAAACCTTTCACAATTGATAAAACAATACATATATATGGTCTATACTCTGTCTGGCTTTTGAAAATAAGGTCTGGAGTTAAGTGGTTGTCGATTGCCCCCCAAAGGGATTCTTGCTATCAAGTCTTGTTTCTTTAGTAACATGATGCAATGTTTGTGTTACAAAAATCGTGGGTTTTTTTTAAAGGGATGAAAAGTGAAATTTTCGGCACTTTCGCTTGAATACCAAATGTGGAGATAATGAAATACAAAACGCACGTGATTGTGTAGGACAATCAATCATGTCAGAATTTAAAATTTTTTCTTTCTTAATATCACAATCACGAGGATAAACTTCACACAACTTTTACCTTTTCAAAGACAGGTGATTCACGTGGCAACCATATGTATCTATTTACTTTCTTTCAAAGTGTTCAAAGGGCATCCGCAAAGGTCGAGGATAGACCAATCATAGACGAGCATCTTTTGCCATCAATGAATATTTAAACCCCCATTGATTGTAAAGGTTTTCCCGCCAAGAGATGGCAAAGTTTATTCGGCCGTGTTTTGTGTAGGAAGGAAGATCGATCGAGGAAGGATAGATCTCAAATTTCCTGTCTGGTGAGTTTGATGCAATGAACGTTCAGGGACTGAAGAGTTGTAGTTTTTTGTTGTTTTTTTTTCATTTCTTTTTACACTTGTATCCCAGTTTTGATCAAACTGCCCATCGATTAACTATGAACTGCCTTTTTGATTGAAGTTTTTCGTTTTCGTGCAAGACACGTGGGATTCATAGATTGACATAGCAGATGTAAGGTTTTATTATTTTTCTTCAGGAATCTAACAAAGCACAGCCGTGTTAAAGGTTATCTCTCTTCACAAGCACACGAGGAAAGTCCTGCAAATGGCGTCAAAGGAAGACGAAGCCGCTGCCGCTCAGCCTCTAACCAGCGATCATGACAAAGAAACGAACGGAGATGCCCTTCCAGCCGTGGAAGTCAATGGACAGTCGGGTCTTAAGAAGGAAGTCACCCTTCTCAATGGCATTGCTCTTGTTGTTGGGGTGATTATCGGCTCTGGCATTTTCATTTCACCGAAACGTGTCCTCACATGGACCTAATCTGTCGGGATGAGTTTGGTAGTCTGGGCTGGTTGCGGTATTCTCGCCCTCCTTGGCTCTCTCTGCTACTGTGAAATGGGCACCATGATCCCCAAATCCGGTGCGGAGTATTCTTATCTCTACGAAGCCTTTGGTCCTCTACCGGCATTTCTTTACAGTTGGACGCTGGCTCTGATCATTCGCCCGTCTTCGCTCAGTGTCGTGGCCCTAACCTTCGCACGTTATGTTAGTCAGCCCTTCTTCCCCGACTGCGAAATTAGTCCGATTCCTGTTAGAAAGATCTTAGCAGCTACATGTTTGGGTGAGTATCACGTTTTTGAGGTTTATCCGGGGAAAAAAAAAACAAACCTTAACCCTAAGTTAATATCGATAAAACGTGACCTTTACTTTGTACTCTTTCATGCGAATTTTTATTATTCGAGTACTATCTGCATATATAAGAAATTATCCCTAGTCAAAATCTTTTGGGGCTAAAAGTTTTTTTTTCTTTTCGTAACCTTAGGGCTCCACTGCCCCGGGACCTTAACGCGATAGCGTTGGTAACGATTTTATCTTTTCCTTATCGAACCTCGTGGTTATTTGTTTACACCGATCAGCAGTGTTTTTTTCGTGTTAGAGTATTGCATCAGCTTCGAAACGTGGCTTCGTTGACCTAATTTGCATTTGAAAACTTTATGTCTGGAGGGGTGTTGAGTTCTTTTGTGTGGGAGGATAATTCGACCTGCAGTAGAATTTTTTTAAAGTGGGTCAACGCTTATATTGACAGAAGAAGGGTTAATTATAGTTAAGATGATTTTATAAGTGTAGTGCCTTATAGATAATTGCTTGCAAAGGTTGGCTGGTTATGGCCACTGTAACTGCGAAATAATAAGACATTTAAATTTTTCTCTCGTGCCAGAGATGTGACCTCATTGCACGAGGTTCTATCCATCTCTTGAGTGGTCAATGTCATAGATCGCGTGGTATTAATAAGCTTGCGGCCAAAGTTGTCCCATATTAGAGGCTACAAGACTTTCATTTTGTACCATCAAATTAACCTCAAGGGTCCATTGCTTAGTTTTGTTGTTGTCATGCTAAATATATCACCGAGTCTTTACATCTGGTTATTTCAGGTTCATGATATTTTGTTCAGAATTATTTATCAATCAAGAAGATTATACCATTATCAAACCAAAACGCACAAAAGCTGTCAGAAAATGCCTCTCTTTAAAAATTTTTACTACCTGTACAAGACAAATGTCTGAAACCATCAACATCTGAATGAAAGCAGTGATGCGTAAGGAAAATTATGCGATAATATGAAACTACCATTCTTTTGCTTCAGCTGGAGGTAGAATTTCATTGTGAAAGAAATTGCTGTACTCTTCGTTTTCACATGATGTCATCAAAATTAAGAAATAAAGAATTATCAATCCTTTTGAGAATTTAGTTTAGTTGGTTATTAAATAAGTAATCAGTTTATGTAACCCTTTGGTAGTGTTAAACACTAAATTACAATGGAGACAATAAAATTCACAATTTAGAATGAATCTTAATTTGCTATTTGTCAAAACACTTGTGTTTGCATAAAATGGGTTCTAAGGAATATTGTTCCGAGGTAGAAAACTGATAGAGGTTTATTTTTAGATGTAAATGGGAGATCGGATCATCATGTTGTAATGCAAATATTATTTAACAACTGTGGGTCGAAGTGTGACGTAGGGAGACAAAGAAAGACTTGGATTGCAGCATCTTAATTTGAAGAGTTTTGAAACCTGTTTTGTGTTGAGTAAAACCACCCACTTTTGAACTTTCATTTGATCAGTTGATTAGTGAGAGCTTAAAGTTATAAAAGCAAAAACACTCGCATGCAACTGTGACTATGAATCCCTTATGTACTGGTCAGCTGATTCACTTAAAAGTTAAAAGGAAATGACGGAAGGTACAAACATTATTTCTAGCTGAAATGGTGCATATGCAAGCAAGTAGAAAAAGTTAAATGCACCAAAATAATTTTTTAGTGTTTTGTGTGCAGGCTGAGAGGCCAACTTTGTATAGCAATGTTAATTGAAATGCTTCAGAATGAATTTGTCACCAAGAGTCGCTTTGTAAACCTGGATCTCAAAGTCAGGCACTCAGTTAGAGTACTTTTCTTAGATAAACACCAGCATTTACTAAGAAAAAAAACTCTATATCTTCTTCCTCTTTGTTTTAGCTCTGACCATGTTGATAAACTGTGCAAGTGTCAAATGGGCCACGCGTATCCAGGACACATTTACTTTTGGAAAACTTATTGCTCTTGCAATTTTGATTGTGATTGGTTTGATTGAAGTGGGATCAGGTGAGAAAAGTGTTATATTTAACACCTTAATTACAGACGCTTGCCTTTTAGTATCGATTTCTATTCCAAGCTACTTGAGTTGAAATTTTTTTTCCTGTCTAATATTCTCTGTAAGAAATTGAAGACCCACATGAAATCACAAATATGTGTTGGGAAAATAAACTTGATCTTGGGGTACAAATGCCTGAAGTTGAATTTAAGGTAATTTTTTAAAGAAGAAAAGGAGAAAAAAAGAAATGTTCTTTACTCATTTCAGACAAAGTTATCTGATTTGCATTTTTGCAATATATATATATGTGCACATAAGAACAGATATAGAAACAACCACCACCAACAACCAATATATTCTACATATTTACTTTCATGGAGAGTTTTTTACTTTCATGGAGAGTTTTTCTTACAATGTAGTTAGTCATTATAATTTAGTTTTAATATTAAATTTTAGTGTCGTAGGCCTTCACAGATGAAGAGCCGCACCTTTTATGTGGATATACTGTGATTAAACTGTTATTATTATGGATTTGATTTCTCAATAGGTAATGTTCAGAACTTTAAGGGATCTTTTGAGGGAACTACTTCAAACTTGGCAAATATTGGATTGGCTTTCTACTCAGGGCTGTGGGCTTATGATGGATGGTATGTTTTTGTATGGAGCTTTTTCTGTGTGAGCATTTTTATGGTAGAAATATTCAAAATGTATACATTTAATTGAAAGGAACTTGTTTGTTGAATGTTTTTTATTTCCTTTATTCCACAGGAATAGCTTAAATTTTGTCACTGAAGAGATGAAGAACCCAGCAAGGTAAATAAAGACATACTTTTATTTTTCAACTAACTGAACTGAAGTTGTATGTATCAAGTTAGAATGAGCAGACAAGCCAAGTGTGTTGCCTGGGCAGAGGTTATCCCAGGTTTTCATGACAGACTATCAAGGACTACTTGAGGTTGGGATGCTTGTCCATTCCAGGTTGCCCTCCCGTCCCTCCTGTATTTGGTCAGGTTCCTCTGACTGTTTGTCAGTACCCACAGGTGCTCTTGGTCGCAGAGAGGCACTGTGAGGGTAAAGAGTCTTAGTCAAGTACACAACACAATGATTCAGTCAGGTCTTGAACCCATGCCTCTTGACACAGAGTCAAGTATGCTGACCTTGAGACCATTGCATCTTCCTGTTGTATTTATTAAAATAGAACACAAGTCTTCATAATGGACAACTGTTGTTTTCTTAACATGACATTCTTCAGTGGATTTGTTTTGTGTGAAAGGAAGAGAATGCATTTGAACTTTTAGTATGATGACTCGTAATGGAGCAGGGATGGTGCAATGGTGAAAGCACTTGCTTCCCACCACTGTGGCAGGGGATCGATTCCTGAACCTGGCGTCACATGTGGGTTGAGTTTGTTGTTGGTTCTCGTCTTTGCTCTGAGGGTTTTTCTCCAGGTCATCCAGTTTTCCTCCCTCTGCAAAAACCAGCATTCCAAATTCCAATTTGATCTGGAGTAAAGTATTTTTAACATGAGCCACTGGCTCAGAGGATCAAGCAACTTCTTCCTACATTATAAACTTTAAACAAAATTATTGTTATTTTTTTATTTTATGACCTGTCTAAGGTTTTGTCCCATGATATGCTTTGATCTAAAAGGACATGAACAAGTAAATTACCCAGGAAGGAGACGTGAAAGGAACTCTGGTGAAATTGTCGGAAGTGATATTCCTAATTCTGTTTCTGTTATCAACAATATAATTTTTATGATCTCTAGGGATTTACCAAGGGCCCTTATGATTGGAATTCCTCTGGTAACCATTGTTTACTTGTTGACCAATGTTGCTTACATTGCTGTCGTTGGAGGGCTTGGCATTTTAAACTCAGGAGCTGTGGCTATGGTATGTATTACACACAATATTCTCCAAATGACTCATTATTCATGTTGAACAAACACATGTAGCAATTTTGTAGGTTTGGAGGTAAACAAAAGTCAGTTTTCACAGAAAAAAAGTATACTGGTATGTTGCGTACAAAATTGCTCATGTATGTCTTTCTTGTTTTTTTTTTTTTATCTTTTTCTGGGTTATCTACCAGAGTTGAAGGTTAGCCTGTTACCGGTACATCTTTTCAAAATTTCTCCAAAGCAAACTACATTATTATGTAACTCCCTAGAGACTGATTTTGAGCTCACACCCAGTTTTTACTAGACTTGAGCTTGTAAATTATTGCAAAGGTTGAGGTTTGTAGGCCATAAGGCCTAAAAGGATTGTAACCATTTACAGTGCGTTAGATTGCTTTAAACAACATGGTGGTTTTATGATGTGCAGGTTGTTGGGGAAGAAACGATGGGCCCAGTTGCCTGGTTGATTCCAATTTTTGTTGCATGCTCCACCTTTGGTTGTGTGAACGGACTGGCTTTTAGTGGTGCAAGGTAAGTCAAATGTTCATTTGTTCAATTTTTTGCAAATGTATGGTACGAGTCAATGCTACAAAAATAAATCACTCAAGCAAACAGTTTGGCTTTGATCAGTGTTTGTATGGGTCATGGAAAACTGGAAAGTCATGGAAATTTGTTGAATTTAAGCAATCAAGATTTCAGAATTTATGTTTTGAGAAGGAGAATTGATTTTGAAATCTTAGAAGTGGAAAGAGCCCTGGAAGAGTCCTTGAAATTTGTTTCTGGAAAAGTTTGATGCAGCCTAATGCCCTGTGCAAGAAATTGATCAAAAAAAGGTTTTGGCTAGTCACCATTCCATTTGCACTCTTGTCCAAATTATCATATTTTTTTATCTTCTTGATTCAAAGTTGTTTATCCTTGCTACTGGTTCATACAGTAAATTGAATCTTACAGTTACTGTTTGCTGTGTCCATAGGTTGGTGTTTGTGTCAGCTCGTAATGGCCACATGCCCAAAGTACTTGCTATGGTTCATAAGAGTTGCCACACTCCTATGCCTTCTATCATTTTCTTGGTAAGTTTTATGTACACACCTACACCTTAGAATTGAGAGGT